TGAAGGGGTGACTCTTGGAAGGGAGAAGTTCCATAGTAAACGCTCCATGGCTCCCCTGCAATAGGTAAGAAGATCACATTCCACATTGCAGGGTACCGCATAACTCTTATATGAAAGATGGTATATGGGATAGTGACCACTGGAAAAAAGATTTGGAAAATCAGTCAGAACTGAGGCACAACAGTGCCTAACAAAACAGTCCAAAAAACAATTAGTAAACCAATAGCTCGCATATCCACGTGGGTCAGGTCACCGACCCCCAGGTGCGAGTAGATTAGATCGGATATTGGTAACTGAAACTCAAATAGTAGTATTAGCACACACTGTTAACAGCAAACATAAACAGAGCTCAGTAGTGCGGCAGTCCATTAATTTAAATTCCCGGTGAGGTATGAACATAGCATATCAGGGATCCCCGAACAACAGTATGATTATGATAGCAGGAGTCAATCATCTGGGTTGCGTTGGCGATGACGCAGTTGAGGTTCATGTGTGTCCACCCAATCTGAGGCAGCGGTAGCAGATTCAAAGAAGTGTTATTGATCATTGCCAATTATTTTCAGGCGGGCAGGATACAGCATTGCATGTGTCAGTTGGAGATTCTGGAGGCAGCCTTTAATCTCAAGAAATTTAGCTCTCTTGCGTTGTACCTCTGCTGAGAAGTCAGGGTAAAAGGAAATTTTGGCCCCATTGAATTGGACGGCAGCACGTTCCCTTCCTAGTCGTATCAATTCATGATCCTTCTAATTGAGGAGACATGCCAGAATAGGCCTGGGTGGTTGTCCAGCAGGCAATGGACGAGTAGGGGTATGATGTGCCCTTTCTACTGCAAATAGAGGAGAAAATGCTTCTTTGCCAAAAATCTCAAGTAGCTAGGCTTTAACGAATTGTGTGGGATTACTGCCCTCAGTATGTTCAGGAAGGCCTAAAATACGCACATTTTTGTGTCGCAGAGGATATTCAAGATCATCCATTCTGACATTATTACCCTTAGCCAATCGTGCCGTGTAGCGGGTATCAGAGAGCATGGGGAGGAATTTATCTTCAAAATCACTTATGCGACTCTCCACAGCTGTGGTCCTTTCTCTTATTTTCTGAATGTCATATCTGAGAAAGTTCACTTCTTCTCTCAAGCCCCCCACTTGCTCTTTCACAGAGTGTACCGATGCAGTACAGTGTCGCACAGCCTTAAGAGTATAGACTAAAGCTGGCTGCTCCTGCTCAGTGCTATCAGTGTCCCTCTCAGCACCCTGCTCAGCCCTCATGTCTTCTTCCTCTCCCAAAATCTGCTGTTGTCACCTGAATATCCAAGTCCCTGGAGCCCTCCTTCCCCACAGGGCGGCTTGTCTTACCAGACCTTCTAGCGGCCTCCTTCATCTTATCACCTCCTCCTCTGGCCGCACGTTATGGTTGTGGAGTGACAGCGCCATGTTGGAAATCCACGCCAGCCTATTCTTCCCTGTTTTTCTGGGTCATCATGTTAGGGTAAGGCTCACCCTGCGAATGCAGAGGTGCCCGAGACAAGGACCGCTGTGCAGGAGTAACTGAAATTTCAGAAATCTCATTGGTACATCGGTGACAGGATGAATAGCGGGAACTCAATGAAGCACAGCCGCTCACATGCCCTACGTGGCCACGCTCCCTTATATGTTATTGTTAATGTATTGAATTTTATTCGTTGGGCAACGGGAAGCCAGTGGAGGAATTGACAGAGAAGGAAGGCAGATATGGAATGGTTAGTAAGGTGGATGAGTCTGGCAGCAGCATTCATGATAGACTGAAGAGGGGATGGCCTCCCTCAATGAGGAGGGAGTTACAATAGTCAAGGCAAGAGATAACAAGGGAGTGAAGAAGTTGCTTAGTGGTTTCAGAGGTTAAGAACGGGTGTATCATGGAGATGTTGCAGAGGTGAAGTCTACAAGATTTGGACAGTGATTGGATTTGGGGCTGAAAGGACAGATGTCAGTCTAGGATTACACCTAGTACCCTGGCATGAGGGGAGGGACTGATGGTTGTATTATTGATCTTGATGGAGACATCAGGGGAGGGGGCATGGGCTGGAGCCCTGTTTTGGAATAATTTGGAATAATTTAGTTTGAGGAAGTGGAGTGACATCCATACCGATATGTCACTTAGTTAGTAATGTGAGAGGAGACTGAAGGGGCGAGGTGAGGAGTAGAAAGTTAGATTTGTGTGTCATCAGCATAAAGATGGTACTTAAAGCCATGGGAGTTTATCAAGTGATCCAGGGAGGAGGTGTAGATGGAGAAGAGAAGGGATCCAAGGACAGAACCTTGAGGGACCCCTACAGAAAGAGGAAGTGGAGAGGAGGAGACAGAGTTATAGGTAACGCTGAAGGAGTGCTGTGATAGGTAGGAGGAGAACCAGGAGAGAGCACAGTCTTGGAGGTTAGAGAGTGGAGGTTTTTTTTTGATGAGGGGATGGTCAACAGTATCAAAAGCCGCAGAGTGGTCAAGTAGTAAAACTATGGAGTAGTGGCCATTAGTTTTAGCAGTTAGTAAATCACTAGTAAGTTTTAGTAGGGCAGTTTCAGTGGAGTGTAGTGAGCAAAAGCCAGACTCTAAAGGGTCAAGAAGCTTGTTGTCAGTGAGGCAGGAGCTCAGGCGATTGTAGACTAAGCATTCTAAGAGTTTAGAGGTAAATGGGAGCAGGGAGATGGGTCTTATATTGTTCAGGTTGGTGGGGTCCAGCGAGGGCTTTTTAAGTATGGGAGTGATCTGTGCATGCTTTAGAGGGGAGGGGAAGGCACCATTGGAGAGGGAGAGATTGAAGATGTGAGGGAGGAAGCATAAGACAGAAGAAGAGGGTGACCATAGACGTTGAGAGGGGACAGGATCCAGGGGGCAGGTGGTGAGGCAGGCGTCTGAGAAAACTTTAGTGACCTCTTCAGTAGTAGCAAGGTCAAAAGAGGCAAGTGTTGAGGGAGGTTCAGTACAAGGTATGCTAAGTGGGATAGATGTCTGTGTAGCAGAGATGACCCGACAAATTGCATCAATCTTGTTTGAGAAATGATTTGCAATCTCGTAAGCAGTGAGTGAGTTACTGGGTGGAGGTGGAGTTGGAGAAAGTAGAGAGTTAAAAGTAGAGAAAGAGATGACGAGGACAAGGAATTAATAAGAATGACAAAGTAGGCTTGTTTGGCAGCATGGAGTGAGGAATTGTATGTTAAGAAAGCAGATTTATATACGTAGGATGAATGCTTGATTTTACGCCACAATTGCTCCAGTGCACAACTATGTCGCTTAAGATTTCTGGTGTTGTCAGTCTGCCAAGGTTGTAATGGTCGGGCCCTGATACTTTGTGTAGTTAGAGGAGCAAGTGAGTCTAGTGTGGATGAGAGTGAACTGTTGTAGACAGCAGTGGCCAGGTCAGAGCAGGACAGGGGAGAGATTCTGTCATAGAGGTGGTCAGTTGCAGTGTGGAAAAGAGAAGGGTTAAAGTTGTGAAGATTTCTGCAGGTAATTGTTCTCTGCTTGGAGGGAAAAGTGTTTGAAGACGAGGACACTGTGAAGGTGATGAGATTGTGAGAGAAAGGAAAGGGGGTGTTTGTGAGGTTGTAGGGAGTGCAAAGATGAAAACAAGGTCTAATGCATTCCCATCAGAGTGTTAAGGAAAAAGATGAGGTTAGGTTAAAGAGCTGGGATGTAGCTGGGTTGTTCACATTAATGGGGATGTTAAATTCTCCAAGAATGATAGTGGGTATTTCAGAGGAGAGAAAGTAGGGGAGCAAAGCAGAGAAGTCATCCACAAAGCACGACACCGGTCCAGGAGGCCGATAGATCACTGTAATCCTCAGAGAAATAAGAGAAAACAGCCGAATGAAGTGAGTCTCGAAAGAAGAGAAGGATAGAGTGGGAGGGATAGGGTGGGACTTGAAAGGTGCTCAGTGAGGATAGAAGCAAACCAACTCCACCTCCTTTCTGACCACTGGGTCTGGGTGAGTGGGTCCAGAGGAGGCCTCCATAGGAAAGTACTGTGGGAGAAGCAGAATCTGATGCTTGAAGCCAGGTTTCTGTAATTGCTAGTAGGTTAAGGGAGTGGGAGACAAAAAAGGTCATGGACAGAGATGAGCTTATTACAGACAGAGTGGGCATTCCAGAGCACACATGAAAAAGGGAGGGTGGTTTTTAGGAGCATAGGGATTGAGATTAAATTGAGTGAATTGCGGCTATTCCTGGAGGAAGGAGGGTGCCTGGTGTGGGGGAGAGATACTGGAGGACCAGGGTTTGGGGAGATATTCACAGAGGTTAGGAAGGTGAGGAAAGTAAGATGGGAGCGGGATGTATATGAGTGCACATGCCTTCCTGTCCTGGTGTTTGGGTCAGCAGGTGAGTAAAGTATTAGCAGGAGGTGGTGAGAGCAGTAGTAGGGGAGATGGTAGAAGTGAGGGTGATATGTAAGCTTTGGGGGGGAGCAGAGGGGTAAAGAAAATAAATTTTGAGAACAGAGGAAAGCAATATGAAAAAAAGGAGTAGAGGGGCGTATTAAAAGGTACATGGAGTGGGAATCAGACTTGTAGGAGATGTTTCCCAGGGAGTTTTGCTTGCAGTCCATGCAGCATGAGTTCTTGTTGTATCTTCCTGCTGCTTGAGTTATCCTGCTTTAGTTAAACTGTTGTGTTCAACTGCTGTTTTGCACTCCAGCAGAAAATGTACTCAACGCAGGACAATGCACCTGAGTTTTGCAGAAAGTCAGTGCTTAGCACGGAGACAGTTTAAGGTGGAGATCACAGAACAGCATTTACCCTAAGTTGCAGAAAGTAAAGGGGCCTAAGGTGTATTGAATTGGCTACCTACATAATCTGCCCTTTAAAAGTGTTGTTAACTGAGAGGAACAAATATTTTTCCAATTTGTCGTACAGAGGGGCTATCAGCAAGGGTTTTAGTTTAGTTTGGTGACATTCTGTATGTCTGTGACCATATTTGAAAGTATATTCATTCTGTTAACTCTCTTCAATAAGCAAAGTTATGGACAACTACCTTCATTTCCAGTATGTGCCTGAGGTGGATGTATTTCATGATCTGATTGAGGAGATTCTTCCATCTCTTTGGATGTGTCTTGATTAAAATTTCCTTAAGCTGAAACAATAAGACACGTAATGAACAAGCTCTTTTATCTATGTTCTGTACAAAATGCTTTAGAAGTACAATAATACACATGTAGCAGTCCCATACCCCCGGCAACAAGTGTTGACCCCCAAGTGGCTCAAAAAACTAGCATTTTAACATTTCACTTTGGGTCTTTGGCTTGTGGTGGGGAAAAACAAACAATTGAGCCCCAGTCTCTTTAGTTTATATGCTCATTATAGTTCATTTGCTCAAGAAATCTGTGGAGAGGCATAGGAGTACAGGATACCTGAGATATTTTGCTGTTTTTATGGTATCACACAGGTAGTCACAGATACCTTACAGTACTGAATAATGAGGTCACCATGCAAAGTATATCTGGCAATGGCTTCCCCCAAACTCTTGGACATTCTTCAGCATAGCAGACTCCTGTGAAGATGCTCCAGACAGGTAGCCATCATCCTCATTCTCTAGGCCCAGTAGTCATCTTCCTCATTCTCTAGGCCCAGTAATCATCTTCCTCATTCTCTAGGCCCTAACAAAAGCCAGCCTAATTTCCATGGGCCTTTGTCTAGGCCCCAGAAAAATAACTCTTCGTTGTGGCATCTTCACTATTCTAAAGTGCTTCAGTGATGGCAGACTCACAATGGCATCCTCACCAGGCAGAAACCTTTCTGGAAGGTTGCTCCAAATATATATACTCTCCCTGCAACTCCATAGTTGCCAACAGTCATGAATTGGCCGGGACAGTCACCGAAATTTGACAGCTGTCCTGGGCTGACCTTGTCCCTGGCTGAGTTCCAAAAATCTGGGCAGATCACGGAGTCGGGGCAGTAAAATCTGGCATGTCTTGGACTATCAGTGGGAGCAAAGAGCAACATCTCTGTCCGGCATCCTTCCCTGGGGACCTACAGACCTCCCCCCACAGAACTGCTTATACAGGGAGACCAGCTGTACACACCGGTTTTCTGACAATGCTGCTTCACTGCACCCAGGCAATGACAAAATCTTCTAGAGAGGATGGGGAGCAGAGTGGCCGCAGACCCTCTTTTGTGGTATGCCTGCAGTCTCTGTCTTTCTTTTGTTGTATTCCTGTAGTCTCTGACCCTGTCCTGTGGTACAACTGCAGTCTTCGACCCTTTCCTGTGGTACGGTTGCAGTCTCTAACCAATTCCTGTACTATGCCTACAGTTTCTGACCCTCTCCTATACTACGCTTGCAGTCTCTGGCCCTCTTCTGTAGCACTCCTGCAGTCCCTGACCCCCTCCTGTAGTAAGCCTGCAGTCTCTGACCCCCTCCTGTAGTACACCTGCAGTCTCTGACCCTCTCCTGTACTACACCTGCAGTATCTGACCCTCTCCTGTGGTACTCCTGCAGTCTCTGACCCTCTCCTGTAGTACCCCTGCAGTCCCTGACCCTCTTCTGTAGTATGTCTGCAGTCTCCGACCCTCTCCTGTGGTACACCTGCAGTCTCTGACCCTCTCTTGTAGTGCGCCTGCAGTTTCTCACCCACTACTGTAGTACCCTGCAGTCTCTGACCAACTCCTGTACTACGTCTGCAGTCTCTGACCCTCTCTTGTCGTACACCTGCAGTCTCTGACTATCTCCTGTACTACACCTGCAGTCTCTGACCATCTCCAGTACTACTAATGCTGTCTCTGACCAACTTCTGTACTACTCCTGCAGTCTCTGAACCTCTTCGGTACTACTCCTGCAGTCTCTGACCCTCTCCTGTACTTTGTCTGAAGTCTCTGACCCTCTCCTGCACTACCTGCAGTAACCTCTAGCAACCAATCAGTGAGCAGTAATGATGTACAGCAACCTCTAGCAACCAATCAGTGGGCAGTAATGATGTGCTGTAACCTCTAGCAACCAATCAGTGAATGTGGACCAGTTCTTTATGTTTAAGTCTATGTGTGTGTTTTGTTTTTTGAGATATTGGGGTGGAGAGAAAAATTGCATGGGGGGGGAGCCCAATAAAATTTCACTCTATTTAACCACACCCCCTTTAAGCCATGCCCAATATTTTGCGTTATTTAATCCACGCTCATTTTTTGGCGTGGTGTGCTTTGCGTACCACCACTTTACTCTTCCAGGGTAAACCACACTAATAAATGAATGCCCCACCCTAATTAACATACTGCTCCGCCTTCACTGGCTTTCTGGACATAAAGAACAAAAAGTGCTCTGAAACTTTTTTTACAATGTTGGCAACTAAGCAACTGGAAAAACAATCTGATGCTGTCCAATACAGATAAACATTCATAACACAACAATACATTGTTACATCTCACATTGTTAGGCCCTGTTCGCATCTTGCAATTTGGGATCGCAGGCGGAATCAGTGCGATTCTGCCCACGATTCCCAATCTCTCTGCAATAGTGGCAACAACACACCATATGTGTTTGGGTGCCATTCATTTTTAATAGCAGCAATTGTGGCAAACTGCATTGTGTAAAGCTTGTAGTCCAAAAGAGGCTCCTGCTCCTTTTTTGGGTGACAAGCTTCGCATGATGCAGTTTGCCGGGAAAAATGAATGGAACCCAAACACATGTAGCGCTACCCTCAAAGGAGCTACCTGCATGTTATCCACGGGCTCCCCTTTACTTGCCTCGCAGCCAGGCACAGTGTACTTCTTCAGCCAAATACACACACTTCTTTGTCTTCAATGACCAGTCTAGGGGATGTTTTTGTTTTTTGAGTTTATTATAGAACTGTGGATAGGGATGGGGAATGGTAGTAGGATACTCCAAAATCAGAACTATTCACACTGAGCACATCTAGCTGATCTCTTAGTTGAACATTTATGAAGTCTTGGCCAGGGGCGGACTGACAACTCATTGGGCCCCCGGGCAATAGGGGATCATGGGGCCCCTGTGTCCTTGCCCAAACTCAAAAAAGCCTATAAAAAAGGTACCAGGGGCATCTCATGGGGCCCCCTACTGACCCCGGGCCCTCAGGCAGTGCCCGAGTTTCCAAATGGTCAGTCTGCCCCTGGTCTTGGCTGACAGTAGATAGCAGGCTTTTTTATAATATATAGCAGCAGGTAGCAGCAAGCTCTTCAGAACACTAGCCAGTATTCCATTTTTCTAGACCTATGCTGACTTGCTGGGGAGGTAGCAAGCACGCAATGTCCCCAAATTCCTCAATGTCAGTACTCACAAGGCCCAAGGGCAGAATGGTTTCCTCCTTCCAATCGTCTAAGTGAAACCCTCCAGTGACACCAAACAGAGCTTTGGTGAACAACTTACTGAAGAACCAGGGTCACTCTCTTTAATTTCGGGCCCTCAGGTCGTCCCACCTCAGGCCACATGTCAGCAGGTGCCAGGCGAGGCAGCCTGCCTACAGCCTGGCTGGTGCAATCCGCTTCTGGGAAAGCCCTCCACCCATGTCCTCCCAGAATATAAATACAACTCCCAGTATTCAATGGGTGGATGGGGCCACCATCCTTTGCAATTGTCCAGGGCTGTATTCATATTCATGCTGTGCATTTGCATAGCCGCTTCCCATGTGCTGGAAGGCTCTCGTAGCTTCCTGAAGGTGGGCAAACTCCAAAAGCACCAGAGCAGGATGTGCAGACCTAACTCATCAAGCAAGCAGAATACCTCACTGAATTTACCTGACAGCCTCTCTGGTAAGCAGAGAAACACAGCTATGCTTAACCTAACTATACATCCTAGCACCTGACTAGGAAGGTGCTCCACATGCTCCACATGCATGGTACATTTTGCCACTATTACAGTGCGATCTAGAATCACGGACAGATTTGCGGCGATTCTGCCCGCGATCCCAAAGTGCCAGATGTGAACAGCGCCTTCGATACAACCCAACAGAAACTGGCAGAGATAATCTTGAGTTTAGGAGAAACCCAGCCCACATGAAAGAAAAATATATTTGAAATATATTTTAAAAATATTCTTTCCAAATATATTGACATATATTTGTAATGCTACAATTTTGACCATATTCAATATATTTCAATAAATATATATATATATATATATATATATATATATACGGTATGTTGAAATGCGTTTTTACTACAAAATATATGAAAAATATTTGTAAAAATACATTTCAAATATACTGTACGTCTTTAAAAATACAAATCTACATTTTTGGAATGCATTTATAAATATACGTAAAAATATATGTTAAAATTACTTTTTTATATGTTAAAAAAAAATTCTGAACACTATATTTTAAAAAAATATATTTTTTTTTAAAAATATATTTTTTTAAATATTCTTACGATTTTTTTAACATTTAATTTTAACATACATTTTTACGTATATTTGTAAATGTATTCCAAAAATGTAGATTTGTATTTTTAAAGACATACAGTATATTTGAAATGTATTTTTAAAAATATTTTTCATATATCCTGTAATAAAAATGCATTTCAACATACAATATATATATATATATGAAATATATTTTGAAAATATATTGAATATGGTCAAAATTGTAGCATTTTAAATATATGTCAATATATTTGGGAACAATATTTTTAAAATATATATTTCAAATATATTTTTCCATATGGGAGTGAACACAGAAAACATAAACAAAGCTCAGGCTGCCTGCAGCCTGGAAGCAAACACAATAAATTGAATAGCTGTGAACACTAGCTTAATGCAGGGTCACTACACACATGACATCATATTTTATCATGAATTCAGTATTCAGTACCGCTGATCTCTCTAGCATGCATATATAGAAGTATGGTTTTAGAAATAGAAAGGCAATCATACTGTATGGTGTTTGTGCAATAACAGCCCAACTTGGAGCACCTGTTGTAGTGGCCAGCAGTTCTGGGTCACATGTAATGTTACAGGCACATTGCTTCATTAGAGCACGCATTACATAATGGGATTACATGCAATGTCAAGGTCAGCAAGGAGTGACACAGTGTCTGGTGACTGTGGAAATGTGTACAAAGCCTTACAACTCGGTATACTGTTGCAGACTCTAAC